CATGAGGAAAAATTTCTTTACTGAAAGAGTGGTTAAACATTGGAACAGGCTGCCCAGGGAAGTGGTTGAGTATTCAAAAGATGTGTAGATGAGGCACTTAGGGACATGGTTTAGTGGGCATGGTGGTGTTGGGTTGACAGTTGGGCTCGATGATCTTAGAGGTCTTTTCCAACCTTAATGATTCTATGATAAAAGGAAATAAATGCTCATGTTTTAACGAGGAATTATCCTTTCATTAAAGTGTTGAGATCAGGAATATTTATGCCAGGAGGAATAATTCTCATGTGATGCACCTGTACTTTGCAGTGACCGTATGGCAAGTATTTAATGTTTCTTCCATCCTTCTTATTTCTGAAGGAGTTGGAGCAGCAGTTTGAGAAGGAGAAACTGCATTTGGAGGACGATAAGAATCAGCTCCGACAGCAGCTGGAAAACCTGAAGGAAGAGCTGACAACGAAACTGACTTCTGCCAATCAGGAGGCAAGGTTTAAGTTAATTGTATCAGCTAATGGTCCTGTGCACTAGACCACATTTCATCAATAATGATTTTGTGCTTAGAGTCCAGTACAGAGCTAGGACTACACTGTTCAGTCTGTTTAGTGCCTTATTTCTGAGTGGAGTATTCTTCAGACATAAGTTACTTGACTGCTTCTGAGCACTGATTTTTTGTCCTTTACAAAATTAACAAAGCGAAAGAGATTGAGGTACAAAACAGTTGACATAAACAGCCTTTCTTGTTTTAACTCTGCTTATTTTCTCATTAGGTACACAGACCTCTACACAAAATACGTCAGGAGACAGAGGGAAAATTAACTGTGTTTAAACCCATATTTGTTTACGATCAACATATTGTAAATTCTAGTCAGCTTCCTGACTTGCAGATGATCTTCATATCTTTTGATGGAAATATGACATGAAATACTTATTTATAGTAAGACCCAAATTATTTGCAATGTTTGCAATATATGCAATCAACATTAAATATATCGTATCTCAATACAGTTTTAATTTTTTGAGTTTGAAATCACCACCTCTTCATAATAGAATATTTTTAAACTAGAAATATATTCTTACTGATATCAGAACCATCAATCCATTCTTGTCTGAAACGTTTGCTTTGTTTTAAGAAAATAATTCATTAGCTTCATTGTTCAACAGGCCATACATATGATTTCACTGTGTCCTTTAAAACAGACTTAAGCATGAATACTTTTTTGCAGTGGTACTTTTCATTACCGTTTTCTATACCGTACAAGTTCTGGAGGTAGCAGGTGTTTGTCGAATTCTGGTGGCTTGCAGTTTGCACAAATGTTAAACTTTGCTTTAGAACAAAACTGCTTGTTTTTAATAAATGGGAAAGATTGTCCTTCTAAAAGTATATATTAAATTATTATTATTATATTAAAGTATATAGTCTTATATGTTAAAATAGTATATATTTTAACATATATATTAATATACATGTTAATGTATTAAATTATTATATATTAAAGTGTATATTCTGAAAGTATATATTCAATATATTACTATATACTTCCCGAGTAGTACTTACCAGGTGTGTATATGTATACCCCAGATAATATATGCTACCAGAGTAGTTGAACCTACCATCTTTAGAGCTTGGCAGCACTGCTGATCAGTCAGTCATGAATACCTGGTAAACAGGAGACTGTACTTTCTGATAGTTGTGAGTACTTTGTACTTCAGACCTTGGAGAAGGTGTAAACTGAAGCTGGAACTGCTCTTGCTCTCTTCACAGTATGCTTACCTACATGCAAATTAATGAAAATGTGATGTATTTGTTATATATGTTAACAAAATCATACACGGGTTTGTTTTTCCTTTCAAAATTACAGAAAGTATTGTTATTTCTTTTTAGCTTTAACTTTTCTGTTGTATGTTAACTTTCCTTGTTGCTGGATTAGATCTGAGGAGAGCACTATTATTCTGTTGTTGTTCAACACTGTAGGCTTGAATTTAGTTACTCTTTATCAACTTCTCTTGGGTTCGTGAGTAATAAACTTGCTCCTTCTTTGAAGGAAATCGCTTCAAATGTTTTAAGAATGAATTTTCATTATCTAACTGCTATCAAGTTCAGGCTTGGAAAATTCATCAGCACGCTGAATTAAGAAAACAGAGGCATAGCTAAGGAATAGATAACTCTAATATAAACTGAAATAAGGAATTAGGGCCAGCTGCTATGTAGTAACTGAGCTTATATACATTCTCATGCCAGGATAAATGTAATAGAGTGTATTTTGCATATTGAGAGAATGAGAGGAAGCGTACAGGCAATAAATTCAGGGTGGTCTGTAAATCCACTTCATGTAGTAGAGGCAATACGTTTTACTTTATTATTATGTTTATCTTAAGCACATGAGACAAGTGCTTCACTTGCAACCACAGCTTACTCTTAGGTCTCTATTGACAACTGACGAGTTTCTCAATGTCTTCACTGAGCTGGGAGAAACTTCCCCGTGAAATGTCTGGCACATCTTTAACTTAGCTCTTACATTTCTACTGCCGCTTCCTTTTTTGTTTGTTACAGATGTCATTTAACAATAGGGATATATTTATTACTTTCTGCAGATGGTAGCTTAGTTGCAGCTTCCCTGCTGAGAGAGCTGGTTTTGAACCTATGCCATCCTCTTTTCTTTTTGACAGACTTTTTGATAGCAATTATCTTAGCTAAAGGATGAGGAAGATTCAAGCCTCATTAGGCTTGTTCCTAGTACCAAGCTATTTAAGAACAGTGTAATCTTAAATACTTGCCAGAGATTTTTTTGAGGGTTCTGGTTAAGTCAAGATACTAACTTTTTTTACACGTATACCAGGATGAAGCTGGCTGTTTACAGATTTGCTTCCTTTCACTGTTGACCAGCCAAGACCTTTTAGAAATACTTCATTTGTGTCACTTGACAGAGTAGTCTAAGGACTGGCCATCTCCATGCAAAGGATTTCTGATGATATTACTAAGGACCATTTTAAACAGCCTCCAGCATTGCTTTGTCGTCGGTAGAATTGACCTAAGCCCTGTGA